GACACCTGCCGGACTGAGCAAGTGAGCCCATTCCGGGGGGATAGCAGCCTTGAGTAAGGCCACTCTCTCTTCTATGTGTCCAAGTCGCCCCAGTTTGGCTCTGATGTTGTCGATTGGTCGCCATTGGCCAGTAATCTCATCCCACAGATCTAAGACGTAAAGCATCCCTCCTTCCGCCCATTGCCTACCGAATGCAGTTGGGGCGCTGCCTGCTGAGAAGGGCGTCCCATTCTTGTCCCGAATTGCAGCATTGTCGAACAGTGGTTGGGCGAGTACCTCCTCCCTTGTTGTTGGGGCGACACAGTGTCTCGGTCCCACTTTCTTCCACGCTGAAAGCACATCCTTCCAGAATGGGGAGGCAATTTGTCTGCGGAAGAAAGAGTCTATCATACAGCAGCTCCATACATCCTTGAAGCGTGGTAAGTTCCAATCCTGTGCTAGTATTAGTTCTGCCAAGAGAATCCAGTGATCCTCCGATGTGCTGGAAATGGCCTTGGTCACCCACCTACACAGCAATGCCAAATTCTGTTTGGCCGGATCTAACATACCCAAACCCCCTTCATCTTGTGGGTAGCAGATGAGATCCCATGCTATTTTGGGGATGAAACCCTCCTCTTCCTTAGAGAAGGGTTTCCATATGAATCTGGCTGCAACTCTGCGTACTACTTTAACCAGTTGTTTACCGAGGGCTCTGATGGTTCCCACAAACCAGAGCAAGGCGAACAATGCGACTTTAGTGACCAGGGCGCGACCGAACAAGGATAGGTGTTTGGCTGGGCCCCAGACCGTAAGTCTCTGGACCATTCTTTGCTGTAGGAGGTCGTTCTGTGCTTCTGCGCATCTACCCAGTGTGACCTGAATGCCCAAATAACGTTCTGCGGTACCACTGGCTATCCTCTTCATGCCCCATTCAACTGCTGGCGAGAAACTTTCCGGTAAAAAATAAATCGATTTTGACCAGTTCACTGCTGCTTCTGACAGATGTGCATAGACTGTCAAGCAGCTTTTGAGAGCCTGCATCGATGAAACTGTGTTTACTGAGATTGCCAGCAGGTCATCAGCCAATGCCTTCACGCGGCATTCCGTGTGTTGGATTGGTAAGTCTCTGATGCATGGGTGCGATCTGATATTGGAGACCAGCACTTCTAACTGCAATACAAAGAGAAGGGGTGCCAGTGGGCATCCCTGTCTCAAGGATCTGGTTAATGAGAATTGAGAGGAGATGTGCCCATTAACAGACACTGAGACTGTTGAATATGCATATAGAACTGTGACCCAACGACAAAAATTCTGACCAAATTTAAGGACCCTCAGAGTAGTGAGTACGCAMGCCCAGTTGACCCTGTCGTAGGCCTTCTCTAGGTCTAGAAGGAGAATCGCAATGTCTAGATTTTCCTGATGCACCCATTCTAGCGCTTCGATCCTAGTGATGATGTTATCAAAAATGGACCTACCTTGGACGAAGGCGGCCTGGTCCTTAGCGACTAGCGCAGGTAGATACCTTCCTAGCCTATTTGCTAAGAGTTTGGCTAAAATCTTGTATGATACATTCAACAGTGATATCGGTCTCCAGTTCCTAATTTCAGCCTTGTCGCCCTTTTTATACATGATGGTGATTATGCCGTGAGTCATGCCCTTGGAGAGGTGGTCACCTGCAAGAACCTTGTTGTAGATTTCAACTAGGTGCGGAAACAGTAACTTGCCATGCTGTAGGTAAAACTCTACCGGAAGGCCGGCCTTCCCTGGTGATTTACCTTTTGCCATGCTTTGAGCTGTAGCCACCACTTCCTCAATTGTAACTGGACGGTCTAGGTCCAGCTTTTCGCTGGGGGTCAGACTAGTTGTGAGGTTGTCCCAGTGGTCTGTGCCTTGCATGAGGTCTGTTCCCGGGTCTTCCCCTGGTCTACGGGAGGTAAGAATATCTTTGAAGTACAACACTGCATAGGTGCACATTGAATCTGAGGTAGCAGCTATCCTCGCTTCCGGCACAAAGGGGTGGTTGAGGAGCTTCATTGACTGAGTTGCCCGTTTTGGCAGGAGTCTTTGAAACGACTCTTTTGTCATTTGGTCATACACAGAAATGCCCTTTGTTGTGAGCCTCTCAGCCCATTCCTCTGATTTCCTCTGTTGGATCTCATCCCATTTGGCCAGAATCTTGGTCCTTTCCGACGCCCAAACTGTTGCGGATATGGGGTGGAGGTGCATGCGGTCCTCCACCCATTGCAGATCTCTTATCAGTTCCGCTTCTTCCTTGTTTCGAACAGCTGCCATGATGCGTGAAAATATACTAAGGAAGTTGGCTGCTATTTCCGTGCCAGCGTCCCACCAGTCCCCCGCAGACTGGAAAAACTGTTGGGCTCTGGGCCAGCGGCTAAAGAATTCATGTACCCAGGCCGAGAGGCCGAGGTCTTTAAGGTTCTGCACATTCAGTCTGAAGAATCCCCTGCCCCTATCTGCTGTGTCTAGGAGGCTAAACGATTAAGAATGATCGGACATTGGGTGTCTTGCCACTTCACAGTTGGTGAGGGCGTCCCACCATACCGGGCTAAGAAGGC